TATGTTGGGGGTCTAAAGCCACTGATCTCATGTCTATCTCTTTCTCGTGAACGAAATATCTTGGAAACACCTGGACGGAATTTCCTCAAATTTCGCACAAACATCCACCCGGACTCTAGCGATAAAGAAGGATTAGGGGGTCAAAGGTCACTGTGACCTCACAAAACACGTTATTGGCAATAACTGAATAATTGATATGCCAAGTTTGACAATTTGATGCAACTGTAAACTGCAGCTTGAGTTGTGAGTCAGCAATTCCAGTTTCTTAAAGTCTGGTGCTAGCCAGGTCAAATAATTTGGGATAACATGTTGCACAAGTGTCCCTTATTTTAATTCATGATGGTTGATGTTGTTGCAGATGGAAGGGAGAAAACGTTGCCACATCAGAGGTTGCAGATATTCTCACATTGGCTAACAGCATTTTGGAGGCAAATGTCTACGGTGTTAAAGTTGAAGGTAAAAACCCTTAACGAAACCACATTTTACAGATTGTAGTGTAGACCACGAGGATAAATGCTGTATTCCCCTTGTTGCTTTTTCATATTTTCTGGATGTATTTAATTAAATTGTGTGTTAAGGTCACGAGGGGCGGATCGGCATGGCAGCTGTCACTCTGAAAGAAAAAGACTTTGATTGTTCGCACGCCTACAAGCAGGTCGTCAACTACCTCCCCGCGTACGCAAGACCTCGATTCATCAGGATTCAGGTAAATACATATATGTATATGCTTTTCTGACTTTTCCCATGCACCTTCTGTCTTGTGAGGTCAAACATGATCTAACCTGGTTTTAATTTGACCTCTTTTGTTTGTTTCTGAACCTCTCTGTTCAGATCAGGTCGTCCTTTTAAACTCAGATATCTGGTTTAGTAAGATTTAAAGACTTGTACAATCAATAGTATTTGGCATCACCTCTTATCCAGCAAACAAGCTCTACTTGTTGGAGGTCGTTGTGGCTGTACTCTGTAAGGAGAACTACAGACACTACTCAGGTCTGAACGAATGCCCTCAACTCCTCTGCGTTCTTTGGTAGAAATAAAATCCTTTTTATTCACAGATATTTCTCCCAAAAGGGGCTGGAACTGATCATCAGTCAAAAATATAAAACAGTATAAGACAAGGCTCTTAGTAGTGAAGTTAGATATAAAACATTATTGAGTTTTCAAGTATGTCGTTGACCTTGGAAATAATACTTTAAAAATAACAATAATATTAATCGAAAAGTATTATGTCTACATCAATGAAATTATACGTGACCATCAGGTTAGTGCATTATATTATGCAGCAATATATGTAGCTTTTTGTATGAAAGCCATTTGAAACATCACTGTTATTTACTTACATTTTTTATTTAAGAAACTCTGACTTCATTGTTACACCACATCTGATACCTAACCTACACCCATGTTGCAACTGAGAGTCAGGATGCCTGATGTTACCGATAACAGATCTGCTATCAGTGCTCTTGTTTTCCCAAATTTAAAATATGTACACTTCACTGCGAGGAACTGGCTGGATGTTATAGCTTAACACGAGACTTCTGTGGTGTCACAAATAGAGTCAGCTGCCTGCATGTGTGAGGTGTGAAATGTGGATCTGTGACTCCTGGCTGTTACCCGATACTCTCATTATGCGTCCCTCGAATGTCATTCAGCGTTTCGTTGTTTGCTTTCAAATATAAGAGAAAACTATTTTTAAAGATCCCCCTATGTGTCTTGTAGCCCTGCCTGGAGATGACGGGGACGTTCAAGATGAAGAAAGTGAAGTTGGTGGAGGAGGGATTTGACCCGGCTCACATCGAAGATCCTCTGTACTTTTTAGATCCGGAGAAGAAGTCGTACGTTCCCCTGACGGAGGAAATCTACAGAGCGATCGGTGCAAGGGAAATCAAACTCTAACCTCATCAGTCACTGTTGAACAAGACGGTTGTTTACAAAGATGCGACATTTCATTCATGGAGCTTGTTTTTAACAATGAACTAATCTCAGGAACGGACGGACTATGAAGCGTTACGTCATGTTTCAATAACCTAATTTTACTAACATATTTTTTAATTCCTCAAGTTGACCTCAGCTCTAAATCTCAAGAATATGAAAGTCATTTACACTAACTTGTTGTCTCTTTTTTGATTTAAATACCCCTTTTAGATCAAATATGTCTACCTCCCGAATATAGAAAATTGTGCAAATCACCATTAAATCCTTCTGTTGACCCGGAAAGGTCTTTAAGCTGTTTTAAATTAAACATGTGAACGTTTTTTTCTTACTTCCCCTCACAAGGTAAACTTCCTTTTCAGCAGTTTCTTACCCAAGCTTTACAATGTGAAAAACAAATGCTGCCCATATCTTTTCTGCGGTTTGTTTGATATATATTTTGTCCGGCGAGACATTCATCCACAGTCATATGAGAGCTGGATTGTAAAGAAATTGCAATTCCTGGACCAACTCTTCCCATCCACAAAGCGTACGAAACAGGCGAAAACATGGAGTATCTTCAGATACATGTTTACTTGAATATATTATATATTATAAGCAATCCTACACTTGGACACTCAGGCCAAAAGGAGCGACTCAATGTAGGCTTGCGAGTGGGAAACATCCAAGATTTTGAGGGAAGAAGCCTTTATGACTTTCCATATTTAACGCGTCCACTCCCGACTTTGAGAGAGCAGAGGAGCGTCGACCGTTAAGAGTCTCTCTCATCACCTCCACAGCGTAAGACTCCTCTGTTTCTGTCACTGTCGAAGAACCACAACTAAACCTCATTGGCAGAAAATGTGAATATCCAGGGTTTCAAGTATAGATATGGCAGGTTAGGGCCCTAAATATTATAATAGTGCATGTGGTAATTACCTGAAAATCAGCTTAACAAATGTGTGTGAAATGATTATATTCTTGTACATTTTATAAATTAAACAAATAAGAAAAAGTGTAAAATTGTTATTTCAAGTACTTATATAGATATGTTAAATATTAGATGGGGTCAAAGATAATAGGAGGAATAAGAGATGTTATGTTGAGTTGACATGGCTTTCGTGCATGTCCACAGTGTGTGTGAATTTGGTCCATAATGTTGACAGTATGTGAGGTACAGCTATGTCTTACAAGCTACTTTTAATAATTAAACTCTGCTTGTCTTTTTCCCCTTTTTTATGATTGTTTAGATAAATAGTAGCTCTTGAAATTATCTTTTCAATACCAACTAAGCAACATTGTTTATCAGTGAACCTTTGCACTGATCTCCTGTTCACTCTTTTATCAGCTTGTGAGCATGAACATCGCACACTGTCAGACTTCAGTTTTATGATGTATTGTAAGAGGGAGTGTTTTGGTTTTAGTTTATTATTCTGCCTCTAAATCCTCTGTTAATCTAGAAGCCTTTGTAACACATTTAAAGACAGTAACTTGGGGTGGGGGTGATTGACTTTTGACACTGATACTCAGACATTGTCACAAGCTTAGTCACGTGACCAACATGTTGAAATTTTGGACCTCATTTCTTTTATCTGAAGTGGAACTTTACTCCCCCCCCCATTACTCAGTAAATACAAATTGAAGCCAATTTGTCAACTGCAGCACTGATGTGGAAACCTGAAATGACTTTTCACCGAATTAGGAGACATCTTGTAACTAGTTATTTTTTATTTTTTCATATTCTTAGAATTGGAGGTAATGTCATTTTAACTTCCTTTTTTGTTGAAACACCATAACTGAAGACTGCTTTTAGCCAGATTTATGGCTAATTTATGATTTATACATTTAGTTGCCAGCGTACCTAGCTAATGCAGTCTAATACGCCTGCAATAAATCCCACGTTCAGGAAAGTTATAAAGCTTTAACTGTAGGGTCATTTTGGAGGCTGGAGTCTGTGATGCAGTTGGATTGTATTGTGTGATGTTTCTATTATTTTGTCCTCCTTTTTTACATGCCAGGTGGAAGGTTAAATAACAAATACCTCTCAGTATAACACTGATAGAGTTCAACAGCAGCTTAAAAAATACCATCAACACTTCTCTGAGACAAAAACACTTTCATGAAGGTAACATTTACTGTAAGACTGTTATAGAAGAGTGCATTAGCTAGCAACTGAGAGCATGTTTTCAAAAACACGTCTGGAGGGGTATTTCTGTAAAAAAAAGGGACTTATTTCTTGCACAACACAGCCAGTGAATCAGAAATAACACCAGACAATTCATTGGAACATCAGTACTGTTGTGGTTAGCAAAGCAATGGGATGCATTCCACTCACTCTGTTATTCGTTAAAGGTGACCTATCATGCAAAATGCACTTTTGTACATCTTTTATACATGAATATGTGTCCCCGGTGTTCCAGGGAACTCACCAAGTGTCAGAAAACACAACCCTCTCTATTTTCCTTCATACCCAAATCTCTTAAAAAGGGGCTGCAACGGATCTGATACAGACTGATCCAGATTTGAACACTTCTGTGACGTCACAGAAGTGGCACTAAGGCTATTGGGCCAACTCCACCAATCAGGAGGAGACAGCCACGGACATTGCAGTTCGAAAGCGCTGGAGACGCTGTAGTACATATGCCAGGCCTGTAGATGGTGCTGTTCTCACAGAATCAGCCCATGAAAAGACAGTGTTAAATTGAGCGAAATGAGGAATGGCTAAAATGCATGATCTGTTTGGTATTTTGAAAAATAAAAAGTATAAATATGCCTTATATAGGTATGGTCCTACACTATATTATTCAAATATAGCATGATAGGTCCACTTTAAATAAATACCGTCAGCACTAGATTAATATTAGTGTAAGCAGAATCATACACTGGACAACTCAGAATGAACATGTGGAATAAATATTGAAGCAGCTGAGGTCGGCAGAAAACGAGAATCAAGCGTTGCGTTCTGACAAAAAAGACGCAAAGTTCAGAAACCACACAGGAACCCTTTGGGCCAGAAGATAGCGAGGGTGTGTCGTTATGTAAAACATCTGGAAGATTCCATCAACGCAACACACTCATCCAAGCAGCAGTTACTTTAAAAATGAATTTATTTATTAATACAGTGGTATACTTAGAAATGTGTTGCAAAGGAAAACAAAAGAAGTTGAACCGAATAAAAATAAAAATAAATAAAAATAAATGTCAGCCACACGGGAAATAAACTAGTGTTGGGTTGAAGCAGTGTTATCATATCAAAAGAAAGTAGTACCGATGTGCCATAATAAATTGTCTATTAGTACAAAAATACATTTCAGGGCACACAATACAGCATCCAGTATCACAAATAAAGGGAGGGACCACTCTTCACAGCAGACCCCCTCAAGTACATCTTTTAAAATCATTTAAACCAAGCACTTCTCTATTTTGTAAATAAGAATAAAAAGTTTTCTGACTGTTTAAAAATGCCTTAAGTAGTGTGTGTATATGTTGGTAGAAAAGTCAGACTTATTACTGCTTATGTCAGTTCCAAGGCTCAGGGGTATAACCAGAATACAAACATAACCAATGTAACCGCTTTCTCTTTTTTTAAACAAACGTTTTCTCTTTTATACAAAATAACAAAGATGTACAAAAGTTCATTTACAGAGAACCAAGGCCATATACTAGCAATATGTACAGCCACAATTTAAACATCTTCTAGCTTTTTGTATTTCCTCAGACTTCATATGCATAGCAGTAAAAGAAAGCATACCTTTTCATCAGCCTCAATTATTCTCGTGTGCTAAATCCAAGTTCACCGTTTATGAGAAAATGCAGAGACAACTTTATCTTCCGTAGTGATCGCTATAACTGAAGGATCCGATGTTTTTAAAGTTTCACTGAAAAGTTAATATGCAGATAAGGCATCACTGCTTGCAGTGTACGATGGGATTTTCATGTGTTGAACTTAGTAGTAGCAGGCTTCTGGACCTGAGTCATAGCACATGCATAGATCTCTAGACAGCAGGAGTTTGTAAAATCAAGTCAGTATATTTATCTACGGTAAAACATTGCTACAAAACATCAGTTTAAACAGAGAGAGCCTCGTCAGAACCGACGGGCGTCTCAGACTAATACTTAACCGTCATTCTTCTTTATTATTATTTTTTTTCCCTTCATGAGTCAGGCTCAGCATTTCTCAAGTCCTCAGAGATCCTTCACGAGTGAAACGCATGACCACATAACTCACAAACAAAAGTTTTGCATATACTAACTTTGCTGTTTGTGAGTGTTTCTTTTTTTTTTTTTTTACAGTACGGAAAAAATCCCATTGCAATATTAAATGAGTTTCCAAAATTCTCCTTTCTCTTGCACTGCTCTGACCTTTTACAAAATTAGCTAAAAATGTCAAAACGAGAGTATTCAGTCTGTGGCACGGGTCATGCATTCCAACTTCAGTTCCTTTAAATAACTTGTTTTTAATCTTCATTTTTTGCAAGCCTTGAAAGCACCGGGGGAGAAAAACAAAGTAAAGAACAAGAGTACAGCGTTGGGGGTGCTGGACTCCTCCTTGTGTAGTGTTTTCTTTTTTTCTTAATGTTTGGGCACAGTAAACAACATGAGAGTGTCAGGTTGGTACTTCATCGGGCCCCCCCCCCCGTGGAGAGGGAGCACGGCAGGGGGAACTGCGCTCCTCTGTTTTCACATTCAGTAACAGGCCAGCTGTCGCCCTCTTCAGAAGTGGTCAATGAGCACTGACACACAGTTTGCACCCACCAGGTAGTTGGGGTCTCCGGGGAGAGATTTGTTCTGCCAGGTTTTGGGATCACCTGCAGGGAAACAGAGACATGATGTCAGCCGCTGGAGGAACTGCTTTACTCTTTAAATAACAGATACAAAACACAGAAGATGCTCGAAACACACATTTGAGGATGAGTGAATGCATACATTAATGCAGGAAATGAAATCCCTTTGCTCATCATGACTTCATGTAATCACTTGATGCTTAATGGATCATTTAATGAATGTTAACTCAGTAACTTCATGCATGTTTATATGCTTCCAAATGAGTTGGATTTAAATGACAGAGTCTGGTTAGCTTTTGTAAAAGCACCAAACTACCAGTTCTCATAGAAATGTGTTTTTCTGGTGGTCAGACGTGAAATTCTACAAGAAGCAGCATGACCCAACTGTCATCGATCATGAGGCGGACGGCTTCAGGCAAGTCCTTTCCTACAGTAACTTTAGCTCTGAGTAATCTGAGCAGCAGGTTTTGACAAGCAAGAAGAATGTATAGAGCGTTGTCTCTGCAAACATGATGTTTGAAGTTCTTTTAGTTTTATTTTAGTCAAAACAATGTATAGGATTGCAAAGCTCAAACAGTGGAGAAAAATAATGAAAATAAATTATTGTTATTGTTACTAATACATTATCATTGTCAAGGTTGTTTTATCCGTTCATAAGGAAAAGCTATTCTTAAAACTCAACACCATTTAACAGAATGTTGCTCCTCAAATTAATTGATTTGCATGTTTAAGAATAGCAGTTTTGGAAAAGGCTGATCATTCATTTCATCACCAGTTGTACTTCTGATGATTGTAGCAGAGATGGAGGATTTGGACCGTATGTGATGTTTGGCAATGTAGCTTGAGAGAGGTCAGTCGAAATGACTTTAAAAATAGTTGAAACGTTTTCTGTGACTGACTCAAATCTATTAATCCGCTTAATGCCCAAGGGTTAAATAAACAAGGCGCCTCATTTCACAAGCAAAAAAATAAGAAAACTCAAATCTCCAAACAGCACATGCATGAAGAAGAAGTGAGGGGAATATGGAAAACAAATGAGTGATACAAATGAGTCGGTCACTGAGAAACTTTCGTCTATAATCACAAAAGCCAGCCCAAAGACCCCAGAAGGACAGAGGACAGCGTACCCGACGAGGAGTCGGAGGATTTTAGAGCAAAAGACCAACCATCAGGGGTCATAGACGCACAGTGAGGGAGGCGCAGCTCCACCGGCTTCAGGAACTTGAGTCCATGCGGGCCACACATCACCAGTGGACTTAGCAGCGTTTCTCCTGCAGGACACAACAAGATTTAAATTCCACAAACATGCAGGATTTAATCAGCACACAGGATTATTCACGAGCCAATCAGGAGGATACATGGAGACGGCTGCCAGGCCTTCTTGACTGAGAATTAACTGTTAATTGACCCGCCAGGTTATTTACATTATCACACTCCCCTGCTGCTTAATGGTCCTCTAAATATATCTCCTGGCAAGGATTTTATTTTATTTAAGAGCTTTTTTTAATTACATAACTACAGTCTTGCAGATAAATCAGCAATTTATTCAGTACCATCTCTTTAGGGCTTTTAGCTTCATACTACTTCTCATAAAGACAGAGTTCTATGTTTGTTTAATTATACAGCAGCATCGATGTAAAGTGTAAACATAATATATAATGTAGACATTCATTCGAAAAAACATGCATGGAGCCAAATATACATTCAATTAAATGTAGTTTTTTTTCTCTGAGATGCCGTGACTGTTTCTAGGATGTAAGGAGGACTCACCTTTCTCCTTGTCGAGGGGGGGCAGGATGCTGTTGTCCCGGCACACCTTGAAGTAGATCTCCTGCTCCACGTTCTCGGGGATGGCCCCCTGGGGGATAATGATGCTGACGCCCGTCTCGATGGAGCTCAGGACCCCTCCGTTACAGTTGAAGATCCCCCGGGCAGTGGCCACCACGGTGTGTCCTTCATCCTCGTCGTCATCGTCCAGCGTGCTGGGGCTGAGGGACGGAGGCACACAAGTCAGCATCATCACTCATAAATGCGTAGGCAGAGAGTAATGCACAGCAGGGGACGAGAGGACGGACCCCCTGTGGACAAACACGTGTCTCTCTGTCTTTCAGCGGCTCAGTAGTCCCCCTGCTCATATTGGATGTGAAAGTGTACAGTCTCACCTTACAGGGATGGCCTTGGGGATGGCGTTGATGTTATTGTGCTGGTATTTGGGCCTGTTGTCTATGGTGCGGGTGAAGGTATCCAGGCCGCTGTCGTGGTCCAGAGGCTGGGGGGACAGCTGGGGCTTCCCCCCGCTGTTGCCCACCATCCCGATGAGCTCCGTCTTCACCTGGGTGTCGTTGGGCAGCAGGTTGTGGTTGAACTTGGGGCTCTCAAACTTGCGCTCAAAGGGCCGCGCCGTGCTGGTGTACGGCTTGGGGACGTAGCGGTTGTAGCTAGTCGGCGCGTGACTGCCCAGGGTCTTTGGCAGTGCTGTGTCAGTGCCGTTGACCGGGGATTTGTCGGGGAGGCCCCTCGGGGGCGGGTAGCCCCCCGGTGCTGGCTCGTCCCTGCTGGGCGGCCGCAGCGCCGGTAGCTCAGGTTTAGGGATGGGGGAGGTCAACGGCTCCGGTATGGAGTTCACTGGATCAAGTAGGATACAGTCACTTAAATATAGTCTTTGTTAATCTATTATATCCTTGCACTGTAGAATTTCGGTTTTTAATTTAATTGACAGTAAGCACAATAAAGCTGTGTTGTTACATTTACAACATTGCATTATAATGTATCCTTTGTTCAATAAATGAGAAAAAAATGTCTCAGTGTAGTGTCTTATCATTTAGCTTTGACCTAAGAATAAATGAAAGCTGTTTAACAAATTGTGAAGAACATTTTAAAGACAAAAAGAACAATTGTGTGAGCTTACCCTCGTTGGGGCTGAGCTTGGGCAGTGTGTTGGGCGGGATGGCGGACGCGGGGGGGCCGTACTGTGATGACGGGCTGATTATGGGCAGGGGTTCATATCTTTTCTCCACTGGACTCACCTTCTCAGCAGACTCAACTCTGCAACAGGCGGACACAAAGAAGACGGTGAACCAAACATGAAAAGGTGTGTAGCGGGTGTGTCTCCAGGACTCTTCAGTGCTGGCAGGAGGCGCGGCTCTACCTGTTGTATGGGTAGGACAGCTGAGCTGTTTTGGGAAGGTCGTGGAAGCGGTTGATGCCAGGGCTGGGTTGGCCCATGGCCTTGCTGTCGAAGCTACGGCGGTCAAAGTAGGACAACTGCTTCCTGTAGTACTCCTCATCCTCATCTGGGTCATAGTGGTTGGAACGCATCATGTCATCCAGGGGTTTATTAGTGTGGGGCTTCTGTGGCTCAGGGACCCTGAAGAGGAAGAGAGACAAGTCAAACAGCTGCAGAGACTCAAACAACAGGGACGGACAGCGGGGTCTGGCCTAAAGTCCGCTAGACAATGTTTCGGTGGAATATATCCTGATTGTCATTTCAGCCTAAATGTTGGTAACAATTTATGAAATTATGAAATATGTCTGAAAACCATCTGGACATCCGAGACAGAGTGAGGAGCTCAGGGGCCGTATTCACAAAGCATTTTATCTTACCGCTAGGAGTGCTCCTACTGTAACTCGCGCTAAAACATTTTACGTAGGAGTTTTTTCTTAAAAGTTATTCACAAAGCCGCTGAGACCTACTCATACTAAGGATAAATCACTATCAAATAGTTATGGACAGTGCAGTTAGCAGAATACACGCATGATGACAAGTTTGTGCAGACCACGATAATGACGTTGTATATGCACGTTAAAGAGAGAGAGCAAACAAATAAAAATACGTAAATTGCATTAAATCGAGGAGGCAATTAAAAGCACCCTGCAAACTATTATCCAATGAGCATATTTCCAGCACTTAAACACTTTCAATAACAGCCCATACCGCCGTTCAAGTCCCCCTATCATGATGAATGAAAACAATCTGCGTGTTGATGGAATGTACTCTCTTTCTATTGACGAACACGTCCTCATCTTTTGATGGCGCAATTATTTTTATGTGCGTCCCGTCAATAGCACCGACCACACCGGGCATACCTGCAATTGCCATGAAGTTGGCTTTGATCCTGTGTAGTTGTTGATTGTCCAAAGGAAACCGGATAAACTGTTGGAAAAGCCAACTTCATGGCAATTGCAGGTATGCCCGGTGTGGTCGGTGCTATNCAGTTTGTGCCATTTGTTGGATGACAAACTATTTAAGTAATTCATTGATAATCAAAACAGTTGATAGACTGATCAATAGGTTTACTCCCCCTTGCTACTCTATTTACAACTCTAAGGTAACATCACAGTTACAAACATTGCTAAAGGAAACAAATAGGGTAGTAAGAGACAGGCAAGTCGTACTCAAGGAGGTAGATAAAGACATAGGAAAATAAAAAAAGATAGCTCAAACCTAAGCTATGACCTGAACTAAAACTAGACTGTACTTATACTCAATATATATTTACACGAAACCGAGAAAACTCCAAATGATTGTTTCCCTTTGCTTTCCAGCCTGCAGATGTTCCTAAACCTGCAAGTGCACCTGGCCCAGTCCTCAAAGCCAACTCCCTCAGCAACCTGGAGCAGGAGAAAAGCACCTATAGGTAAGAGTCCTCACAACACCCCCCGGCTGCAGAGGAGGCTGAAGGACACCTCAGATCCTGCAAAGGCTCGTTGTTAGAGCTCCACCTAGTGGACACGAGGCGCTGTGCAGCAGGCCAGACTCTGGTGTGGTGTGCAAAGACAAAAGAAAACACATGCAAAGGCCAGTGCTGTGGGCAAATAGTCTTTGAGATCAGAAAATCTTAACTGAGTGAAATGACCCGAAAGTAACTAAGTGGCAGCCATGATAAGAGCTGGTCAAATCCTCTGAATGCTAAGGAAATGTCCTTCAATGTCTACTTTCTTATCACTTTTAGCATAGAATACACTGGACCACACTTTACCAAAGAAAAGGAGATAAAAACCAACCCACAATTCCATGCAGCTTTTAAAGCTACACACCATCCGGCAGTCAATAACATCTGATGTCACTTTTTAGTAGTAGGCCTACCATTTCATGATTGAGCATTGTGGATTCATTTAGGTGTGATTCTGTATTTTATAGGACGAATTTCTTGAATCATACAGCGTTGAGTTTTTACTGATATCTAATTGTCTTAAATAAATTCAATGGATTTTCTTAGCACCACGGTATCTTTTCCTCATGACTTTTTACCGTTGAGGAGAAGAAAAATTGGCTAGGGAAAGACATAACATGTCATTTGTTTGGACTAACCGACAGCAGTTTCTACCAAGATGACCAGTTCTGCATGTTAGCAGGCTCTTTGTGAACCTCATTGCTCCCTGTTGTGAGAAGCTCGACACCAGTCTTGTTACAGACCAGGGGCCGTATTCACAAAGGATCTTAGGGCTAAAAGTAGCTCCTAACTGGCGAATTTAGGAGAAACTCCTAAACATAATGGGCGTGTCAGTCTTAAATTTAGGACTCCTAATTTTATTCA